CTTTTTGGCTCACCTCTGGTACTATCTTCGGTCCCAAGCTTGTCGAATCACCCCTCGAAACATAGGAAAAACCAATAACCCCTCATTTTATCTGTCAAACTTTCATAGCGAATCAAAACAAACATTGTGTAGTACTAGAATTTCGACTAGAATAGGGTACGTTAATCGTTTGCTTGGGACCAATAGGCTACTAAAGTGGTGAGCCAATTTAAAATCGTTAGTTTCGTATTGATTGTTGGTTCAGCTCTGGTACTCTATTCGGTCCCAAGCTAATCGATTCACCCATCAAAACATAGGAAAATCCACTAACCCCTCATTTTATCTGTCAAACTTTCATAGCGAATCAAAACAAACATTGTGTAGTACTAGAATTTTGACTAGAATGGGATACGTTAATCGTTTGCTTGGGACCAATAGGCGAGCCAATAGGCTAGTCAAGTAGTGAGCCAATTTAAAATCGTTAGTTTCGTCTTGATTGTTGGTATTCTCGCGTTTTAAGTGGAGAAGACTCTGCAGGATTCCAGTGGAGATATCTAATGCTGCCACCGCGAATTTCGACTATTTTTTTCCACGTTTCTCGGTCGAGGAGCTTCTGGAATAATTTTCTCAAGCCAGGAGTGTGGAACCGAAGAGAACAACAAAAAGGACAAAACCCTTCATATATACAAAAGCTACAGAGCGAAAAAAGCACTGAGAAAATGCATTAATTTTTTTTTGTTATAATAAATGAACCACAAGTGATCTGCCCTTACACGAAACGAAAATCAATTATTTTATTCTTGTGTTTGACTTATACAGTTTTGCCAAAACATCAGCCGTATACATTCCATAAGACAAACCTCATAGGTCCTATAAGAATGCATACAAGGTATTTGTTACCGCTTATACATTTCATTTGACACATGATCTTCATTAAATTTTTGCAAGGCGTCTCCGTTCGCAATGCTGTTGTATCTGATAAGGACTGTTTCAATTTGAAATTTGCAACTGCTCGACTATTCTGTTTTATTCAGGAAGATCTTAGCAGGAGACAAATCTTTCTAGGCTCAAACCCCTATATAAGGCAAATTTTGTACTTAATAAATCGAATGTTTTCGTTAGTCTTAAAACGTCTGTCGATCTGTTAACCCAACTAACATTTTCAGCTTTGTAAGCCAACTTTTCCAGCGTTGTGCTGTAAAGTAGCTGAAAAGAAGCTGCAGATACAGCTACACACAAAAAATAATCGTTAATAAATTTAAAAAAAACCATTGGTAAAATTAAAAGTTAGCGTTGGTTCTTTTTGGTAGAAAGTATTTAGCATTCAAAACTAAAGTCCCCTAACTGTCAATTCAAAAGTAGCTCTCTTTCTACTTTTAAAAGTTGAAACTTTCAAATCGAATTGTAGAACTGTCAAACTGAAAACCTATAGTTTTTAAATTGACGTATAACAAATTTTAATTCAAATGATAAGCATTTTAATCGCAATTACATACGTTTTTATCTTAAATTTGAATAAATTTTAAATCAATTACTTTTATTTTTTAAAAGAAATAACCAAGGAAATTCCTTTTATTCTAATTTATTTTTTATAGTAATTATATTGTCCATTACAAAGCAGCAGAAGTGACGCTCCCGATGCTTTTACAGTATGAATTGTATTATTTTAAAGATTGTTGATCAAAGCTGGAATAATTTACTCCTGACGGACTCGGTTTGGGGGTACTTGAATGAAAGTGGCATCTTGATGGGGGTGGGAGTCGAGGTGGGAGTAAGGCCGTGGCCAGGGTAGACGCAACACGCGACGCGATGCGATGCGACTCACCCAAGGAATAATAATAAATAATAAGATTCTTTTGAATTGGTCGCGTCGCGTCTACCCTGGCCGTACCCTAACCTTCCTTTCCGGCAAGACTGAGGCTGCTGAAAATTAAAACATCTCATTTAGAACAATCGGAAATTCATTGAAAATTATACCAAATTACCGTCAATTCCAGCACGCCATCATTGTCTCCATGTTATGATAGAGTTTATGTTTCATCTAACATTGCTTTCCTCCGTTGGCTGCTTTGACGATCACCTGCAATCCGATGAAAATGAATTAGCGGTGGCGTACCCTTTTTTGGGAACCGATTCCAGTTCGAAAGAGATACCGACGGAAGAGTAATGTGGAAACGTAGAAAACACAGCAATTGGCAAATCAAAGTTGGCTCTCGTGGAGAATAGAAGAACTATGAAAGTGATGATGGTTTCAAAATTTTCCACGGGGAAGTATACGATTGCAATCTTAAAATGCTTTTATTTTGTGAATGGAGCATTTTATTTAAATCTGGTTAGTGCTACGTTAGTAGAAAACTTCAGGACTACTCAATAGACATATAATACAGAAAACATAATTTCTTTTCAGATTTTTAGGTGTTAACATAGACTTCCGCTTTTCTACCACTGTAGCAGTAACCAGATTTAAATAAAATGCTCCATTTTCAAAATAAAAGCATTTTAAGATTGCACTCGTATACTTCCCCGTGGAAAATTTTGAAACCATCATCACTTTCATAGTTCTTCTATTCTCCACGAGTGCCAACTTTGATTTGCCAATATGGTTTATTTTTCACGCTTTCAAATTAAGCGGCAAACGAAGGTCAAGTGATGCCAAAATCTTCGCAATGACGAGGAAGTTTTGAAAGATCTGCGACTTTTATTTTAAAAAATTAACTTTTGAAATTACAAGTTGAAATTGAAAGAAACACTTTTAATCCGAAAAAAATGTTTTGATTTTGAATATTTTCGTTGTTAAAACTATGAAATTGGAGAAACTTTTAAATTGAAATTTCATTATTTTTATAGGGACAATTTTTGTTCTTTGTATGTACAAGCAAAAGCTAGCAAAATAGTTTTGGAGGGCGTTTACTCAACTTTCTCACAACCATTATTCAATTTGTCAGTCGCACTGAATAACATCAGCCAATAAACGCTAATGTCACTTCTATACACTCACTAATCAACTTTCAACTTGTAGCTGCAAAACAAAGCTAACAAAGTGAATATATTACTCATTTGATGGCTTCTAAACAACCAACCACTCTTGCTGAATAACATAAACATCAAAAGTGCTTTTTCAACAACTAAACAACCTGTACTCAGCTTATAAACTGTGTTAGAGCAACTTCGGAAGCATTGTCACAGTCAACTAGGTTTATTTTTAGACGTGTGCAGTTTTACAGCTTTTACTCTGCTCTTTTATAACTAGTCGAGAAAAGTGATTCGTGTGCACTATTATAAAGTTTCTACTGAGCGATTTTGTTGTAGAAGGGAATGTTGATTTGTTTACATAAGTTCAAAGTGTTGGCGTAGCACAGTTGGTAGTGTCAAGGTTTGCCAATGAGGTCGTCTCGAGTTCAATTCCAGGTTCCGGTGCAGGGTAAATAATTTGGTGATGATTTGTGTAACTAATTTCGATTAATTTGATTCACAGCAAAATAAACTCAATAAATTTCTTCATAAAAAAGCGTAAACAGTATTTAACCCGGCTTCAAGAGAAAGCTGTGTAGTGATTATTGGATAACCGGGAAAAGGTTGAATAAGCGCCTTTCAAGTTCACACACAACTAAAAAGCAGGATAACAGCTGTATAGAAGCGTTAATGGATATGCAATAAGAGCTTCTCCTGACCAAGGTTGCAAAGACTCATTTCAGCTAAAATAATGTTTTTCGGAATAATAAAACCAAAAGATGGTATGATGGCATGTTTTACTTGTAACTTACAAGAAGAGGTTACAAAGTATGCGTTGGAAACATAAAACCTATAAATTTTGCTTTCTATGAGTCACAATCAGCGATTTGCTGATCGCTGAGTGAGTGAGTGAGTGAGTGAGTGAGTTTGTGAAAAATCGCTGACTGTGACTCTCATGAAGTGAAATAAACAGGTTTAATATGTCAAACACATTCTTTGCAACCTCTTCTTGTATCCTACCAATTCAAAATTTGATCATGGCATCTAATTATTTCATAATTTAGAAAAACATTGTTTTAGCTGAAATGAGTCTTTGCAACCTTGCTCCTGACCGTTCCAACAGCCATGAGTAGCTGACTAAGTTCGCCAGATTTGCTTGTATAGAGGTTGAGTAAAGGTTTCCTCATATCGTATAACGTTTGAATACAGCTTGAGGCTATATAAATGAAATGAGTAAAGCGTTTACATTGTGAAAATTGTTAGTTGGGAAGATCCGAATTCCTTCCAGCCAGTACCTTCATCAGGTTTTAAACTAAGATTACTGATGAGACCAGAATCTCTAATTTAGTGAGAAGTTCAGTCCTCAGTCTACAATCAAAGTCCAAACACCTGATGCTAAAAGCACTCCTTTTCTTTCTATCAAAATCTGAACCACGCTATTGTAACAGTCTCTTAATTTAGTAGAGTAACTGTCTTAGCGTCTTGAACAGTTTTTTGATAGAATCGAGAAAAAAGGCACTCGCTCCAGCAGTCCCGGCAGGGCAACGGCGTACCATCCAAACCGTTCGGCGTGGTAAGTAAACCTTCGCGTGATTAAACAAAGCGCGGGACAGCTTGTTTTAACTCCTCTGCCATCCGTGCCGATCAAAGAGCTTCACAAAAAAAAAAACCCTATGAACTTCATAGAGAATAACAAAGTTTATGGAACTTGATGATTACAAATATCTTTTAGAACTGTGCATTGCGCTGATCGTGTTGCAGTTTTATTTTTGAAAATTTCAAATTATAGAATTGTCGAGTAGTTTAAAACAATTTTGAAACTCAGCATTGCGAACGGCCTAAATTAGTTGACTTTTGACTAGAATTGGACTCAATTTTAGGAACTCTCACCGGCCGTGTAACGTCTGTAATTTTTCTTCTGTGAGCATAAAACTTCACACAGAACTTCACACTAATTTTGCAGCAGGGCACGTTGTTTTGATTTTGTTCTTAATCCTTCTTTTTCCTCTTTTGCTTCCAAACGTTCCAAACGCGGAGAGAAATGGGAACTGTCACTTGGAAAAACGTGTTTGTGTTGATTTGTTCTGCCGAGTGGTCGTCGTATTATTTCACCCGTTTAGTGCGCGCACATTGTTTTCCCGTTTGAAATTTGCCTTGAAAAAGTATGATCGGAACCAAGAAGCGTTCCGTATCCAGCGATGGAGCTAAAGTGACCAAGAAACCAAAACTTGAAAAGCCCAACGACGCCCCCGCAGCAAAGTCGGTCAAGAAGAAATTCACACCCAAAGCGAACCATGACGGCGGCGATGATAAGAAAGGTAAATTCCAGAAGAAGCTAACTCCGGGAGGCAAAAAGGATGGATTCAGGAAGGATTTTAAGGGAAAGGATAGGGCTGTGGAGGAGAAGAAGCCGTTCGTCGAGAACACACCGGAATCCAAGCGCGAGTACTGGAACAGTTTGAAAACGAAGCAGAAGGAACTGCGAGACCAACGCCGGAAGTCCAAGACCAAGGATCTGTACGAGTTGAGCGTGGGTGCGAAGAAGATTTACGAAACACTGAAAAGGTAAGGAGGTTGGTTGGGTTGTTTACTGCGGTTGGAAATAATGTGGATGTTTATTTGAATAGGAAATCAACGGAAAACAAGGAAAAGCTGGTGTCGGAACTGCACGAAAAGCTCAACAAAGATAACACATACAGCAGGATCGCAACCAGTCACGACACGGCCCGTGTCATTCAGTGTATGATCAAGAATGCTTCGGAGGATCTTCGTATGCAGATAGCGGAGAAGCTGATCCCGGAAATTTACGAAATATCCACCTCCAAGTATGGCCATCACTGCATTACCAGCCTGCTGAAGAATGGTTCCAAACCGCTGTGGGCAAAGGTCGTAGATGGAATCATCAAGCATGTCGTCAAAATGGCAAGCCATTCCTTTTCCGCTGCAATCATCGACTCGGTGTACAACGAACATGCGACCAACGAACAGAAGGCATTCATGAGACAAGCTTTCTATTCGGAAATCTACAAGCAAACCAAGGATAAAAAAGTCACCTGTATGAAGGACACTTGGGAGACTAACGCCTTTATGAAGAAGACGGTCATTTCAACCGTCAAGGGTCATCTGCTTCAGGCCGCCAACAAACAACTGACAGACAATGCCCTGCTTCACTCGCTGTTGTTGGATTTCCTCCAGGAAGCCGGAGAGCTCGAACGCACCGAAGTAATCGAGTTGTACCTGCCCCATCTGGCTGCCATATCCAGCACCAAGGACGGTACTTCAGCTGCCATTTTCTGCTTCCTCAATTCTGTGGTAAAGGACCGACGAGCTGCCCTGAAAACCCTCAAGCAGTACGTGACGAAACTGACCGTCCACGAACACGGCCACCGGCTGGTGCTGTGCATCCTCAACTGCTACGACGACACGGTCATTTTGGGCAAGCAGCTGGTATCGGTCATCCTGGAGCACGTGGAAACCGTTGTGGCCAGCGGCGAGTGGGGCCGGAAGGTGGTCGGGTGGATCTTCTCCCCGGCCGATAAGGACCTGCTGCACCCGACGCAGATCGAAATACTGGACGGCTATCTAAAGCACAGCAAAAAGGACAAGGAAATCCGGCGGAGAGAAGTTTTCGCCTCGGCAGTGGAACCGTTCTGCACGGCGGTCGAGGGTAATGCGTCGTTTTGGCTGAGGGGAGGCCACACGACACTGCTGACGGCGGCGATCGTGAAAAATCGTACGTACTGATTTTTTTTGGGTTGTTGTTTTTTTTTATTATCTTGGATTTAATTTGCAGTTACGGGAGAGCACCTGGGAAAAGTGCACCAGGCACTGGCGAAGGTGGTGTCCGATCCGGAATGGCAGATTCAGGAGAATGAAGTCAACCTGCAGGGGCTTCCCATGGTGGAGGAGAAGTCTAAACCCGCCGCGGCTGATGGCAAGAAGGGCCCGGCGAAGATTAGGAAGATCAAGAAGAGTCCGTTTGCAGAGGAAAAGGTAAGTGCGGGTTTGAATGGCTAAGATCTTCGGAGGTGATCCACGGAAGCTGCATAAGGCATCTGTATGTAAATGACTAAACTATGATGTGAACTCAAGATTTTCGCAGTTGATCATAGATCTCTAGACAGAACTCAAGAGGGAAACGTTCCTGTACCTGATCTTGTCGTTACTTTGCATTTATTCACGGGAATTCGACGGCTAATGCCATTGTTTACAACAGCAGTTTTTAAGGGTTGGTACCGATTTGGCGTTTTCTTGCCAGGCCTTCAGAATTGGCCCATAAGACGTTCTTATGGAAACCCCTAGCCCTAATCAAACTTAAGTGGCCTGTGTATTAAGCATAAACTATTTCGGACTTCCATAGGACCTTTGTTGTTAAGATTTCATAAGACCTCCGAAGATGGCAAGGGACATGAACTGAACTTTTCAGCTCTCTGGAGTTGCCCCGAAAGAAATCTCGGTTGTCTCATGAGGCCTCTGAAGCTGGTCCATTTCTGGAGTTAACATATAAATCCTATCGTCTTAGAACGGAAGGTCTCTGAAGGTGATCACCCTAGGCATTATTAGAGTTTTTGTTTTACAGCCACTGAAGTTTACTCAAAAGTAAGACAGTAGTTGACTAATTTGGTTCATGGAGTTGAAGCATTAGCCTTCTACAGTCATTCCGCAAAGTTAACCCTCAGGTCTCTAAAGTTGGCTTGAGGCCGGAGAGAGCAAAGTTGTTTCTTACTGGAACCACGGCGGGACAGGCTATTCGGTTTATGGTTCTAAGAGAAATCGATTGTTTCGATTAATGGATTGTCCGACATGTGGCAGCTAGTTTTGAAACTCCGGAACAGCCGGTTTTCAAATTCGTCGATCATTTCTACATTTGAAATACGGTGCAGGTTTTCGGTTGGATGTCATGGATCGAGTTTTTGAGGAGCTTATTTTGCGTCCTTTGGAGACGGACACGATGAGTCTTTGCACAGTTGATCCAGGTTGGAAATCCGTAGGTTAGTATAGGACGAAATACACATTTGTATAGCAGCAGTCTGTTGTGAAGCTGGAGGCGATTTTCGATTCACCAGAGAGTGCAGAGATCGGGTCAGTCTCGAGAACTTTGCAAGCGTTTGGTTAATGTGTTTGGCAAAAGTAAGCTTGGAGTCCAGGACTAATTCTGAATATTTAGCGCCGTCGGACCATGGAGCGTCTTAACCACCGACTTTCACACAGGAGGCTGGAAAGTGGTGTCGAGCTCTTTTGCGGGTGAAGAAGACGGCTTGGGTTTTAGTGGGATTGATGTTGATTCTCCATTTGTCGTAGAACTGCTCAAGGGCGATTCTGTGCTCTGAAGTTTAACCGTTACGATTTCTGGATCTTTGCCCGATACGAGGTAACCGGTATCATTTTAACCAGATATGACGGGAAATTTGCTATAGCAAGTTTTTGAACCATTGCTTCCTGCCACAGCATCGTAAGCCTTTTCCACGTTGAGCATGACCATGCCTGTAGACTTCTCCGAAAACCCTTTTTTAATCTTCTGAGTGATCCGGACTCATTAGTGGTTAGTCGAATGATAGCGCTTGAATCCAAACTGTTCGTAAAGGAATTGTTTGCGTGTTATCCAAGTGGCGTTGCATACGAGAAAGGACAACTCTTTCAAGAATTTTACTGAGCGAACTTAGCAGACTTATTGGACGATAATTGCCTGGTTGGGTAAAGTCCTTGTTCGTCTTCGGGATGCCTACTACTAGCGCGGGCTTCCATGTTGTTGGAAAATAGCTCAGTTCTAAACAACCGTTGCAAATCTTGGTGAGAGAGGCTAGTCCTTTTCTTGGAAGCTGCTTCAGTACCTCGTTTTGAAAGCCATCTCGACTGTACTCGAACAAAAATGCAACAGACAAAAATGATCACCAAAAATTCATTTTAAGTCGGATATTTTTTAAACTCTCAGTGGATAAATAAACACATATTATGTTTTTGCAAAGTTGGTTTATTCAACCTCCTCTCCTAGGCTAAATGCCCGCACCTTGAACTTAACGCTACCCATCAAATCCTGTGCAACACTTGCGCCATCTTTCTTACACACTTTCATCCACTCTTTCTTCAAATCCTTGTAGTTTTTGAAGACCTTCCCTGTTTTCCGGAGCTTGCCTTTCATAATCGCCCCGAGTTTTTCCATTGGGCGAAGTTCTGGCGAGTTTGGCGGATTTGCCTCCTTCGTTGGCTTCGTACCACTCCAGTACCGGTTTCGCGTAATGGCACGATGCCAGATCCGGCCAAAACAGAGTGTCACACCTTCGTGGGACCGGAGGAAAGACAGCAGGCGCTTCTGGAAGCATTCGTCTTTATATATTTGGTCGTTGATGGTGCCCGTCGTTATGTACGGCTTGCTGAATGTGCCGCATCCACAGATCGCCTGCCACACTAAGTACTTCTTGGCAAATTTGTCGACCTTCTTCTTCCGTAACTTCTCCGTAAGATCCACACGGGACTTGCCGACGAAAAACTCCAAGCCGTCCAGCCCCCAGCGTCCGCTTTAATGTACGTCTTGTCGTCCATTACGATGCATTTCAGCTGCACCAATCACTTGCGTATTCTGTTTATCGGTTCGATACCCAGACAACCAGAAGTCGTATAATAATGTACAGACAGTATCGTAAATTGCTACAGTTTTAGTCAAAATCGCATATAAGAATGGCATACCTCGCATTATGTTTAAGTTAAATCGTATAGAATGCAAATTTCCGACCAATATGCGATGAATCATTTTTCCATCGTACTGTATCACAAATTAAATCGGATTACATCGTAAGACTTTTCAAAATGAATTTGTTATTACAGATTAAATCGTATATGATGTTAAATCAACTCGTTTAATATTAAATTAAAATATGCACGTATATGGCCTCCACTTTTGTACGTATAAGCCATTTCTTTGCATTATATACGAATTGTTTGTTTGTATATATGTTTGTATATCACGAAAACAACTTTGAATATACGTGCATTCTGGTTGTCTGGGTAAGGCGCCTTCCTTACCTTGAAGACATGAAGTCCGGCCCGCTTCATTGTCTGCTGGACGAACCATACGGATGAATTGACCTTCTTGGTCACGTCCCGTGTTGAATGGAATAGAACGGCCGACTGAGGTTCGAGAGCGTATATTTAGTAGCGCTTCAAAGCTGGAATTGGACCAGAATTTATCAAATATAATCCACCAATAACCAATCATAAGAACTTACAATTCAATTTGTCTTACTCAGTTCCTCAGTTTCAACAATCCTTGCCAGCTTCAATCCTGTCCAATAGTTACAATAGCTCCTTACCTTAATTATGATTTACTTATAGCATCTACAGACCACTATTACCTTGCGAAACAATCTACACCTCACTCTACACTTCAGACCAATCCGTAAACGTAAAACTAGTAAATTTTGATTATTTCTCAATCTAAAATACACAGGCTCAATTCTCTTCGAAAAATAGAATAATAGAAAATTATGTTGAATGCCGAAACCCAAGCGTCGTTTGGTCCGTTTGACATTTATGCTGAAGGTCGCCCGTAGCAATGGGCGCTCCCGTTACGATCAAGGGGTAAGACAGCTCCTTTTTTTTTAATGTGTTTATTTTTCCAGGCTCATTTGCCGTAGCTTTGCGGAGCCGATATTCATTGTTTAGGTTACAAAATTTCTTAAGACTAACGTTAGTAAAGCGGGGGCCGATTACTCGCGGCTATCTCGAGGTTAGGGGTAACAAATTGTAACAAATGGATGGCAGGGTAGGGATTGAGAACACAAGGTTTGGAGAGCAATGTGCTCTTGATCTCGAACTAAGCGACCAACTGATGAAAAAGACAAACATGGGGGTACACCGATGGGCAGCTAACAACTTGGGGGAACACAAGATGACACTAACTACTAAATCCTCAGATCTATCCGTTTTAAAAACACATATATTAAATTGCAATAGTCGAGATCTCGGCTCGCCAAGATGTCTCTAACGGGCCGCATGGGTTGTTTTCCTCGGGCCCTGAGGGATGCGGATAACTCGGATCTAGCAACACAATGTAGGGTGCATGACCAAAGCACGTGGTCGATATCGTGATAGCCACTACCACAAGCGCACAAATTGCTGCCTGCGAGCCCGATTCGGAAGAAATGCGAGTCTAACGAGTAGTGATTGGACATGAGCCTTGATATGACACGTATAAAGTCACGGCTCATGTCCAATCCTTTGAACCATGGCTTGTTCGATACCTGTGGGAGAATAGAATGTAACCATCTCCCCAGATCACTCTCATTCCATTTTTGTTGCCAGTTGGTTAGGACGTGCTGACGGGTAATTGAGAAAAATTCCGCAAAGGCGATTTGTCGGTCAAAAATATCGCCTTCCATAGCGCCCACCTTAGCCAATGAGTCCGCTTTCTCATTACCCGGAATTGAGCAATGAGATGGGAGATAAACTAAGGTGATAGTATAGGAGCAGTTAGATAAAGTACTCAATTTAGCTCGGATTTCGGTCAGGAAATACGAGGAGTGCTTCATCGGCCTCATTGATCGAATAGCTTTTAACGAGCTAAGGCTATCAGTAAAAATAAAATAGTGATCAGATGGTAGTGAGGCAATTTGCTCTACTGCGTAAAATATGGCTGATAGTTCCGCAACGTATACGGAACAGGGTTTTTGCAGTTGATATGAGGCGCTATGATATTCGTTGAATACTCCAAATCCAGTGGAAGCGTTTATAGTTGACCCATCTGTGAAAAAACTCTTATTGTTACTAACATGGTGGTACTTGTTTGCAAAAATTAAGGGAACAACCATCGACCGATGGTGATCTGGTATTCCACGGATTTCTTGCAACATGGTCAGATCAAAAAATACAGAGGAACTATAAAAGTCTTGGAGGCAAACACGAGAGGAATTGAATGAAGAAGGGCCAATCTCCAGCGTCATGTACTCGTAATAGAGACTCATGAATCTTGTTTGAGGATTTCTGTCGAGCAGCTTCTC